ATATATATATATATATTCCACCCATCCTTCTATTATATCCAACTAATCCATCTACCTTGTTCATTAATCTATATATCGGGGAGCATAATTTTGTTATTTACCACTCAATCTATATTGAGTGGTCAATATATTTTAATATTATATACACCTAACCATTTTTTCCGTTAATCACATTTCATTTTACCCTCTTACGCCATGTTTCAAGTTTAAAACCCGAGGCAATGAAAAAAAAAGGAAATAGAAGGTTAATCACATTTCAATTTACACTCTTATACCGTTTATTTTCTTCCTTCCCCTCCCATCATCCCACATTTGAGAGGATATATTTCAAGGGAAAAAAGAAATCTTTTCCTGGATGGATCAAATAGACAAATGGATCGGATGGATGGATCAGATGGATGGATCGGATGATTACGAATTGGATTGATCAAATAAATGGATAGGATTTGATGGGGTGGATGAATATAATGGATAAATGAATAAATCGGATGGGCGGATATTGATCAACTTGAAGGAGTGGATGGATTGACTTGGAGGATTGGATGGATTAATTGGACATATTGGTGATAAAATAACAATTAAATGGATCATATGGATAAATCAAATAGATGGATTGGGGGAAAGGAGTGGATTGACTAATTTACCGAATGGACTGATTAAACGGATTGTATACATTTATCGGATGGATAGATATTGTGGATGCATAAATGCAGGGGCGGAGGATATTAAGGGCGAGGGGGGCTGTGGTCCCCCCTGTTTTTTTGCTTATAACTAGTTTTACCCACTAATTCTTATATATATTAGGCATGATTTTTTAAGCACAATAAAGGGTTTCAATAGGGGTTTGTGAGGCACTAAAGATCATATTCAGATTGTGAGCTTGAGTGTTCTACGAGCTAGCAAGCACTTGTTCATTATACTCAAGTTTTGCATGTGTGTGATACCAACAAAAGGATGTTGTTTTGGCTCCTTATCCCCTAACTATACATGGACATTCAACACTTATCAACCAAAATGCACCTAAATGTATATGATCTCATGGTTTATCAAGCTTGATGGTTATTTTGTGTAGGTCATGTTTCAGTTGCTTTGTTCATAACTATTATAACTAAATCGAAACCCTAAAGTGGCATTTGAGCCTCCCATTGAAAAAATAATAGCATAATACATGTTTTGTGTTTGATGACTTGTGACTTTTAGGTTATGAATCATGATATGAAAAATTGCAACGAACCAACTTTTGTTAGGCTCTGAGTGCCTCTTTTGTCTTTGGTTTGGGCATAAGATATTTTTGCTCACGTTGCATGATACTTATACGACTTTTTTTCTAAAGTTTTTACCGGTGTTGCAAGGATATATTTAAAAACTTATTTTATATGTAATAGGCTCATGCATGACACTTGATTTTTGTATGTATTATGTACATCACATAGGAAGAAGTAGAGGTAGTGTGTTAGAAGTCATGGAAAGATAACATTTTTAATAACTTTCAAATAGGATGGATTCATACATGTTTATTAATGGTCACAACACATTGGTTGGTAGACATTGACTTTAGTTGGTATCCTTTGTTATATTTGAGCTCTCTTGCTTTAGTTATTAATAAGATTCTAATTGATTGGTAAGATCATCCTAAATCAATGATCCAAGGAATTCTATACATAAATATATTTCTATATATCAATATCTGATGATGCCAGAAGCAATGAGAGGGATTGCTGAGAAAAAAACAAAGAGCATCGAGAAGTTCTTTCGAAAACTAATGTTGCAAAGATCGGTTTTGGTAGCAAGGCTGGATTATTCTGATCGAGAATATCGTCTAAACAAGAAAAACTAAAAATTCAGAATAACAATAAGTTTTTAACATAATCAAGACACCTACAGGAGTATCTAAGTAGTAAACATATCATTGTAAAACAGTTTAGATAGCTTAAAATGTTGATAAACAAAAGCATTCAGTTTCATCAATTCAAAAACAACCCAAGAAATCCAGGTTTAACACAAGATATAACAAGAAAACTCAGAATTATAATTCATAACTCAAAAAACGACGATGAACACTTATCTAATCAAGCCTTCTCCTTCTGGTAGACATAAGTGAGACCACACTTGCCGCAATAGTGCCTATCGAAGTGGTTAGCCATGAAAGTCCCAGCACCACACTCAGCATTAGGACACTCTTTCCTCAACCTCTGCACCTTTCCGGAATCATCAACCTTGTAGAACTGCAACACGCTCAACTTCACCTTCTTGTGCTTATGCTTGATCTTCTTCGGCTTGGTGTAGGTCTTCTTCTTGCGCTTCTTTGCGCCACCACGGAGACGGAGAACCAGGTGGAGGGTTGACTCCTTCTGGATGTTGTAGTCAGCAAGGGTTCTGCCGTCCTCAAGTTGTTTCCCGGCGAAAATAAGACGCTGCTGGTCCGGTGGGATGCCTTCCTTATCTTGGATCTTCGCCTTCACATTGTCGATCGTGTCGGAGGATTCAACCTCCAACGTAATCGTCTTCCCCGTTAGGGTTTTCACGAAGATCTGCATTTTTGCCGAATTGTACTGATACGGCTTGATTAGGGTTGGAAGAAGGTTTTGTAGGAAGCAAAAAAAATCAAATTGGGCATTTGAGGGCCATCGTCGTGAAAAATAAATCCCTACTCTTTCAATTTGGGCTCTTGAGGTTCAAATCGTTGACTCGTACGTAGGCTATCTAAGGCCCATTTTGGTCGATTTGAACTTAAAACTGTTTTTCTTTATGCTTTCTCTTTTGTAAAGTGGAATGTATATTGTTTTTGGAACTTCTACTATTTGCAATATACTGATTTATCCCAAAAAACTTTTTCTATTTGCAATATACTGATTTATCCCAAAAAACTTTATAAAAAAATTGACATCTCATTACATTTTTAATCCCATCATAATTACCTACTCTTTTACTTCCAAATTAGTTTTTTACTGGATACTTAAATACCATTAAAAACAACAGAATTTATCATATTGTTATTTAATTATAATTAATATTTAATATTCTTAACTCTTATAATCAAGGATGTTATAAATATAGACAAACATATAGTGATTTATTTATAGTTTCCCAAAAGTAAAGTGATTTATTTATAGTTTCCAAAAGTGAAATTAAGTTAAACTTTTATGGATTATACTGTTTTAATTAAATAGCAAAGGAACGACGTCGTATCATCACTTCAAGATACTCCAAAATTTCCCCGGTTTATCTTCATCCAAATTGTTCATGATCGACCGTTTTGATTTGCCGGTTTATCTCTTCGTCTGAACTGATTGATGACCGAATGTATCCCAACACGAACGACGTCGTATCATGAGTATGAAGATATGGTACAGGTTAGTCTCCCTTGTCTCTTTTTTCATCTGCAAGTGAAGGAACCTCTGTGAATATCTCTATCTGTAATCGAAAATGGCGATTTTAGCATCTCTCCCAAACCCAAATCTCTTCTCCTCCCTCCCCA